CCCTTCAACGCAGGTGATCTTCCCACTAGAACAGGTTAGTTAGTCATTCGCTTCACTCAGTGTGTCCTTCCCCTAGAACACAGGTTATGTGTAGTCCTTCCCTTCCCCCCAGGATTTTCTGGTCCCCATACTCGAGATATTCCTCTAGATGAGGCAGTCGCGACCTTCTTTTACCCAGGTTAAGTGAGTCCCGTTCCCCGCTTTACTTCCTCGGTCGAGGCCAGACCTCGCATGCCGAGTGGAGTAAACCTGTGTCTTTACCAAGGCTGAGTGGGTTTCTCCTCGCTACAGCGCCACTGTCTTGCAGCAGAGCTGTGGCAGTGGTTGCACAGTCAGCTGACGGCCAGCGAATAGGCTTGGGCTGAGCCGCGACGATAGAGAGATTCATCGTGTCCACCAATCTTGGGGTGGGTGGGAGGAAGAAGCAGGCGGTGGCACAGTATTAGGTAGTGGGCAGCTAAAACTGGACCCACCGATGCTGATGCGCAAGCAGGTGAACACTGCTGGGGGACTGTGTGTGCTAGCCCATAATATTTGCTCTCGTCTGTGTATTCTTTCTCATTTCTTTTCTTACTATTCCTTTTATATTCTACAATCGGCCTCACATTCAGCCAAAGAAATTACTGCAATTAAGATATAACTGTTATGTTGTTTACATGCTGTGCTGAGCAATTTTGTCGAAAGTGACACTGCGTGGTAATACATTAATAAGAAAATAGCAGTTGTAATGTAATCATCTCTGACAACAGTTAGGCACATGGATAATTACAGTACCTATATACCTATACTTCCATTTTGGTTGTACCTCTAGCGAGCTATGGGCGCTCACACACACCACTATAACACTAAACTCAACCATCCTACTCGGTAATCATATATCAAAACGTCTTACAACTACAACTGCACCATATACTATCTGCAATATGTAGCCAGTGAGGCGATGACCTGATGCCAGCTCACTAGTATGCTCCCATCGTATCAACGTCTCACACACGGCAATCCGCTGAAGCGACGTCAGGGGCTGGCCACAACCACTGTCCGCCGTGAGTAGGCGCTGAGGAGCTGAGAATGTGCGACGCGGACGCCGCACGCAAGCGCTACACCAAGGGGGATGGCGGTTTCCCCCATCGCCGGCACGTAGGGAGCTTTTGCATTGTCTACATAACTTCAATTTGTGGTCCAATGTTGTGCATACTAAAGTGACTGTTTTCAGATAATTTGGTAAAGATTTTCTTTTGTGTGGCGTTAGATATTTCAGTGTCTTTAGTTATACACATCGAAGAGAGCATATTTCATGCGACGTGCGTCGACCAGAGTTAATCTCAAGCGATTTTTTTGGCTGTCGTGAGATTATTCGCATAAAATCAGCCTGGGTGAGGAGCCGGTGAGATTCTGTCCAAAAATGCGTGGAGTCTCACCGTCAAATGCGGTGACAGTGGTGCGCAAGACCCTGGAACATATATGTACTGTGTACGATAAACGTAGCAATCACGTCTGGTCCAGGTATTTCTGTGATAGCTAAACCCGAGAACAGCATTGTGTCACACAAATAGGAACATAAGTGTAATTGTCTACCATTTTTCTATTGTCGCAATCTCGAATTGGAAATTCGTTGTAGCCAACTAATAAAAGTTTATCAAAAGCTTGAGCAACATAGACTTAAAACGTTCTATTTCTGAACCCTCATAGAAAGAACTAATGCCACATGGTGTTGCAGGTCGTTAAGAACATGATTTGAAATATTTATTCCATGAATCACATCGTTACAGTTGCCATAGTCGGATGGAGTTTGAAAGCTGGGGCTAAATATAAAGAATAGTTTCATTTCCCAATACAAAAAACAGCGCCCGGCCGCAACCACGGCAGACAGTGATGGCCGTACGAGAAGCAGCCCCCTCAGATAAGATCACTAAAGTGATTGTGATCGTAAGTATGCGTACTCTAGAACCAGTGATCGTACGCGTGAAGATCTCACGTGAGCCCAGGTGAGTCTAGGCAGTGTGGCGTCAGTGGCGCGTGGGCAGATCGCGTCGCTCACGCGGCACCTCCGTGCTAGGCGCGACGCCAATGCCACGCACGTGACAGGTGCTTTTATTGCCGGCCCGGCCCGAAATTTCAAAAAAATCTGACTCGAATCCTGGGACTTTCGCAGACACGCGTCGCCCACACTGAGTGTCCACGGCCGGAGGGGAAACAACACCTAAGCAGGGCCGAGCGGCCACGTGACAGCAAACGGCGCGCCGGACGGAATGCAGGCGCCCGCCACCGGATCCCCTGACAGCACATCGGCAGCGAGACGACGGATTGAGTATGACAACACGGCCGACCGAACTCGAAGCTGAGTGAGTCGAGCGCATGAGAATGAAGTGAGATGAGCGACGCAGTGAGAATGAATGAACGCTGATGGTGAGCGACCGCAGTAACATGAAATGAAGTGACGTGAGCGAGTAAACATGTGACGAATGTAAACTGAGAGTGAGTGAAACGATACAGGTGGAAATGAATGATAGTGAGTGCAGCGAGACACAGGGGAGAAATGAATTAAGGCTGTAGTGATGGCGAACACATGGCCGACCAAGCGACCGCTGGCGCCAGTTCCCGCGAAATGAAGTGAGTGAGCATGACTCTCCGGACGACGTGAAATGAATGAACCATCAACTGCCGGGATCGTACTTCGCACCCGCCTCAGACACGGGCTTCTCAACTGTGCACGTACGCTGCGCGTTCACAGGAGATCTTACCTCCAACACACGAAAACAAGCGCCGGGGGTCATGCAAGAGGTGGCCGCGGTGGGCGGGGACGGGAGGGCAGCGAGAAAGGAGAAGATTCCTTCAATTCATCTCTCTACACAGCGCGCTGCGTCGCTCTCACATCACTTCATGTCTCGACACTTTGTGTCGCTCACCACGATCCGACGCATTCATTCATTCTCACTGTGCTCGCGTCCACGCGCACTTCATTCATCTCTCACACTGTATCAGCGTGTCGGTCCCACACAGTCACTTATGCCGCATTCTCACCTGGTACCTCGGCCGGTGCACGCTAACGGGGGTCACGTTCATTCGATATCTTCTGGCGTCGCTCAACCCGCGTCACCTTCATATCATTCTCACTGCGGCGCTTGGCCTCACTCACGTTCATTCTCCATGCGTCGCTCAACACACTTGAAGTCGGTCGCCGTGATGTCATATCTCGAATCGTCTCTCTCGCTGCCGCATGTGCTTGTCGAGGATGGTGGCGGCGCCTCGCATCGTCCCGCGCCCGTTTGACGGTCACTGGCCCTCCGCGCTGTTGTTGTTTTCCTCACCTGACACCCAGGTGGCGGAACGCGTCGCATAGCGAAGCCGGCCCACATTCGAGTCCATTTTTTTACAGCAAATGTCGGGCGGGCGGTGCGTTGCATTGCCAGGCGCGCACTAACGAGTGCGGATTGAGCAATGCTTAGATCACTGCCACTAGATCAACGACTAAGATGCAACGCTCTAGATAGGCGGCTAGATCACAAAAACACTCTAGGAATCTATCTCTTGCTTTCTCTAGACTCAACTGCTGCGTGCGTTGGGGCCTGTTTTTTGGGTATGGGAACATGAAACTATTTATAATTTTAGCCCAACCTCTTCAATACCTTCCATCCGAACTAGGCAATCCTGTAAACGATGTGATTCATCGAAAAATATGCAATCCATTCTCAACGAAACCTCAATAACCAACGTGCATTATCTTTCTATTGGAGCCAGAAAATAGCAACGTTTACAGTCTATCTGCAACTTATTGAATAAAACTTTTATAGTTGGCTACAACGATTCCATTCATGGCAACAAATAGAAACATGTAATACACAATACACTTATGTTCCTATTGTTGGTGAACAATGGTTCTGAGTTTAGCCTCTCAAGTACTGACACAGACTGATAGCACTTTTACATGAAAATCTACTACCTAGTACCATACTATGTCCAGGGACTGCCAACCGATCCTCACGCATGTGACCGTAACTTCAACGATGTTCTGACCCAGAAATCTCACGCTCTCACGCTGATCTTACAATCACGAACAGCAAAAAAACTGCTGAGATTATCTCACGCATGAATATCTCTCTAGCGACTCAGTGAGAGTAGAGTGAGTGAGCGACGCAGTGAGAGTAGAGTGAGTGAGCGACGCAGTGAGAGTAGAGTGAGTGAGCGACGCAGTGAGAGTAGAGTGAGTGAGCGACGAAGTGAGAGTAGAGTGAGTGAGCGATGCGACGAGTGACAAGTGCAATGAGTGATGAACAAACGTGAGTGATGAAAGGAGTGAGTGAATGACGCAGTGTGGAACAGACAGAGTGAGGAAGCCACGCAGTGAGCGATGGATGGAGTGAGTGAAAGACCTACTGAGTGACGGACGGAGTGAGTGACTTATTGACGGAGTGGATGACAGATGTGGTGAGACCGTGAGAGTGTAGAGATGGCAACATCTGTTGCCACTAGAAGCAAGTGGTGGAATGAGCCAGGCAATGAGAGTAGAGTAGTAGATACACTAGTAGTACGGATTCGCAAACCTCTCAGCTTTTCAGCTTGCTTTAATCATTTAATAGACAGATTTTAGCTAAAGATCGAAGCGTTTCCTGCAAATTAAAAAAATCAAATCTATATATCCACTGTCATGAGAGATGAGATGCGGATTACCTTCTACCGGTATCATAATCATCGGGGGATTACTGTATATGCTGTATATTTCGCGGTGGTTTAATTTTCGCGAATTTCGCGAACGCGTCCCCGACCGCGAAAATAACAACGCGCTGTTCTTCACTGATTCGGGAATTCACCGACCGCAAAATTAACCGAAAATATCTATACGCGAAAAATATGGCGTATACAGTACATTGTCATTGGTACCCTCGTTGATCGCTGCTTGCCGTGCGCTTGTTAATTGCTGTCACACGCACATACATATGCACGCACGCACGCACACCACACACACGCACACGGCGCATGCCACACACACGCGAACGCCACACCGCACACCAACGCGCATGGCACGCACACGCAGCAGCAACACACGCAACGCACGCAATACACGCACGCACACGCACACACAGCCACCCACACACACCAACACACACACACACACACACACACACACACACACAGCACACACACTTGGCACACATACATAGATGGTGAGGGGTGGTGTCATCGCAGTGTTTGTGTGTAGGATGGATCATAGTGGCCGCATCAGCACAGCAGCAGCAGAAGCAGCCGCCGTGCCGCGTCAGTTATAGATTGATGGGTGTACGCGTTTCTCGGGAACCAGCTGTTCTGCCAAACCTGTTAGAGACTTCGCCGGTTCTACAAGAACTTCGCCGAAGCAGCGGCACATGGCAGGTATTGGTGTGTGTGTGGCGTGCGTTGCGTGCGTGCGTCCGTGCGTGCGTGCGTTACGTGCGTGTTAGCGCGCCCAACCGCCGTCCGTGCGTGCTGCGTGTAGGTGTTTGTGTGGGCACACGGGTGACGTGTTTGTGTGTGCATGCGTGGTGGTATGTGTGTGTTGTGCGTTTGTGTGTGTGTGTGCGTATGCGGCGTAGTGTGTATGGTTGTGCGATGCGTGCGTGCGTGCGTGCGTGCGTTGCGTGTGTATGAGTGCCACAGTGTGTGTGCATGCCGTGTCGTGTGCGGGACATGTGTATGTGTAAAATTGTGCCCGTGTGTGTTAACGTAGCAACCGTGTACTGTAGCAGATACCATAACTGTAGTTGTCTCTGCGCTCTTGCAGATACTCGTCTGCACACGACTTGGCTATACCTTTGGAGGATACGGGAGACAAGGACCGCCAGGTGACCTACACGATTGGTGAGTGCGGACACTACGCTGAGCAGCGCGCTGACTGCCTTCACGAGTCACAGGTGACGTGACTCAGCCTGACCCTAACTCTCTCTCAACTTCTCTATCTCTCTCCCTCTCTCCCTCTCTCCCTCTCTCCCTCTCTTCTCTCCCTCTCATCCCTCTCTCCCTCTCACCTCTCCTCTCCCTCTCCTCGCTCCTCTCTCCTCTCTCTCTCTCTCTCTCTCTCTCTCTCTCTCTCTCTCTCTCTCTCCTCTCTCTCTCTCTCTCTCTCTCTCCTCCTCTCTCTCTCTCTTTCTCTCTCTCTCTCTTCTCTCTCTCTCTCTCCTCTCTATCTCTCCTCTATTCTCTCTTCTACTATCTTCTCTCTCTCTCTCTCTCGTCTCTCTCGTACTCTCTCTCTTCTCTCTCTCTCTCTCTGTCTCTCTCGTCTCTCTCCTCTATCTCTCTTCTTCGTCTAATCTCTTCTCTCTACATCTCTCTCTCTCTCTTCTCTCTCTCTCTTCTCTCTCTCTTCTCTCTTTCTCTCTCTCTCTCTCGTCTTTGCTCTCTCTCTTCTCTCTCTCTCTCTCTCCTCTCTCTCTTCTCTCTATCTCTCTCTCTCTCTCTCTCTCTCTCTCTCTCTTCTCTCTCTCTCTCTCTCTCTCTCTCTTCTCTCTCTCTCTCTTCTGTCTCTTCATCTCTCTCTCTCTTCTCTCTCTCTCTCTCTCGTTCTCTCTCTCTCTCTCTCTCTCTCTCTCTCTCTCTCTTCTCTCTCTCTCAGTGGATTACTCACGCCTGCCCTCTCTCTCCCTCTACCCCTCCCTCTTCTCTCTCTCGCTCACTGCGCATACACTTGCCACTCTCCTCGCTCCCTCTCCCCAGCTCTCTCTCTCTCTCTCTCACTCAATACACATACACTTGCCTGACCCCCCCCCCCCTCTCTGTCTCTTCGTCAGGTGATGCACAGGGAGACAAAGCCGGGGAAGCGGTACATGCTGCGCGCGGAGGTGGTCAGCACCGGCTTCCCCTACAGCGACGTCTTCTTCGTCATCAACCACTACTGCATCACGAAGGTGTCGCGCAAGCAGTGTCGGCTGTGCGTCTCCTGCGAGGTGGTCTACCGCAAGCAGACGTGGGGTCTAGTCAAGTGTAAGTGTTCCGATGGTGATGTCGAATCCGCGAGTCTGTTCATGAGGTGTAAATCTTGTGGGATGTAGTCGAGGGTAGAGTTGTGATGGAGCACGAGGTGAGTAGGATTTCGGAGTAGGGGGTTGCGTCGCGTAGTCCTAGTCAGGTTTAGCATCCGTGTTTTGTGCGTGCGTATGTTCTTATTCTAATTGTGTAAGTTCAGGGTTTCATCTAGAGCGCTGTTTTCAAGAAGCTGTACTTGTGTTCAATTACTAAAAAAACAAGTATAATTCTAAAACTAAAAGTATAAAGTGATCTAAAAGTGCTCTAAAACATGAAACTAAAAACCAAGAATTCGTTCTGTTTTACGTTCGCGATTCTTCGACCGCCGTTGCAGCATTTCACCGTTGTTTCTTTCAGCTCTTATAGAGAAGAACTCAACTCAGGGCATGGTGGAACACTTTACAGTGCTCGGTAAGTAGTACACACCACAGATTCCCACCCCCTGGAAACAACAAACCAGCAGCAATTAAAAGATCTATCTGCCTAGCAGTATTGGCTCTAACTAATCAGTAACGCTAGATGACGTTCGATAAATGATGCTTAGAAAATACTTTTGGCATAGGCGCGTGTAAACCTTGACAACCCACACTTAAATGGGTCTGGCTTCGCCGACCTAGCAACGGTATCCAAGGCAGCGGCGTGGTCATCTTAATTAATAATTAATTCCATTTTGTTCTGCTGGGAGAGAATGTGAATGTGACGCTCAAGTTGTTACACATGTGTGACCAGCTGGTGCACCAATCACCGATTCCTCCCCCCACACACCACACCCACACACACACACACTCACACACACAACCAACCAACGTAACACGCTAATACTATGACCAATTTTTACCTCGCCTTGACATCGTCAAGATGAGCTATTGCCATGGGGCGTCGGTCCGTCGTAACGTCCAGTCCGTGCAGTGCCGGTCAAATTTTGAGCTAGGTCAACGAATTAACTCAAGAACTGTTTGGACACACATGTTTCAAATTGCCATGCAGTATGTTACTCCTATAGGAAGAGGTTATGGAAGTCCTATTGGGAGGCACGCCAGTCGACATACTTTTCAAGTAACTTTTTTGCAAATGGACAATGGCCATAGATCAGTTCAGGTTCATGGATTTTGCTCATTTCTGTAATGTGAATGAATGGGACTGGCCCGAACATATCAACAGGTTTTGATTTTTTTTTAAATTATGCACAATTAGGGCGATTTTTGGCACATTTCACTATGCATTCAGTGTCTGCCTACGGTCAACGATAATCAAGAACCGTGGTTGACCCACATGTTTCAAAATTGCTGCAAGTTGTTACTCCTATGCGAGAGATTGAACGTCCTATTTTGGAGCACGCCAGTTGAGCTACTTTCGAAGCACGCCCACTTTTTGGCAAATATGGAAATGGACATCTAGATTATTCGATTGTTGTTAAATTTACCTCAACCTAGCTAGCCTATCGTATCTACCTACCTAATCATACCTACAATGTCAATATGTGTTTTAGATTCTTTATTACAAGTAATTTGGACTGGAATATTTTATTACTTTTATTTGAGCGCATATCGAAAGACCATCAAGGGGCGATTTTAGGGCTAAGCGCAATCTCTCGCCGATTTTAGAATATCAGATCTGAAGACATTTATTTTCGGCGCATCAAAAACTTAACCCTGCAAACAAAACAGAAAAATTGCTATTAGTATAAACAAGGGAATAATGACATTTGATCACATTTCGCGTTCGTCATAAATGAAACACTTGCCAAATTTTTAAATATATCTCAATATTCTATCAACCAAGCGTGAGTATAGTGTCATGACACTTTCATTCTCAGTCATTATTGCGTTGACGTGTCTGGCGCCCCCTACAAACACACACAACAGAACACATCCGGCCGTGACACGCCTAACGATGCTAATGGAGACATGCATGAATGTAATAACAATTCCATCGTTCGTTCTGCCAGGACAGAATGTGCATGATGAACTCATCTGTTAACGTTTCACCAGCAGTGTGAACCAATTCACCGTTCCTCCCACACCAACACATACACGACACACAACACACACAACACACACACACAACAACACACAACACACACACCTACACACACACAACAACACACACACCACACACACCCTAACGCTACTTATGATACTATGACCCATTTTTCATAAAGATGCTAACGCGCTAACGATGCTAACGACGTGTGTTTCAGACACGAAGCTCGCGTAGGAAGCGAGTGAGTTAAGGCTCACCTGCTTGGCCGCGCCGCCGGCAGTGAGCAAAGACGCCGCGCGCCGTCGCAAGTCCGGCCAGTTGATAATCGCCGAGGGCTAACAAACCCACGGACGAGTGGATAGACAGTCGAACAAGCTCACAAGAGAGGAGTCCGAGATCAGCCTCCGCAAAAGACGGTAGGTCGCGGGCGCATGTGGGGTCGGGTCAGGTTGCCGGCGCATGCAGGGTCGGGTCAGGTTACCGGCGCATGTGGGGTCGGGTCAGGTCGCAGGCACATGTGGGGTCGGGTCAGGTTACCGGCGCATGTGGGGTCGGGTCAGGTCGCAGGCGCATGTGGGGTCTGGTCAGGTCGCAGGCGCATGTGGGGTCTGGTCAGGTTGCGGGCGCGGGTGTTTTATGATTATGATTGGTATGGTTATAGTATACATGTTTGTTTTAAAAAGTAATGTGCTTATAATCGATTGCCTTTGTCTTTCCTTCATGTAGAAGCAGGTGTTGATCATCGGTTCTTCAATGTCACGTCTGAGACCTTCATGAGAGCTGTGCTCTGCATGTAAGTGTACCTTGCACATCTCTGTCTATGCCATACATGCATGCACGCAGGTAGACAGGTAGGGAGGTAACTAGGTAGGTAGATAGGTAGGCAGGTAGCCAGGCAATTAGGCAGGCAGGCAAGCAGACAGACAGACATGTAGATAGATAGGCAGGCAGATCGTAATTCTAGTGGACACGCATTTAGATCTACATACATTTGGGAAGTAATCGCAATGCTGCTGCATACATGCTGAGAGTGTTGAAGGCTTCCAGGAAGTGTGCGGCAGTGACAAATATTTCGCGTCGGTCTTCCAGATTGTTGTTGTTGGTCGTCGTCAACGTGATGTTCTTCTATCAGTTGAGTTCCCTGGAGCAGCGGAATTTCGCGTACGAGTACGGCGTCGGGGCACCACCTGTCAGGTAAAGTTTCGTCTGCTCACGAAATAAGAATATTAATAATATGTAAATATTGATAATAATAACATATTAATATTATAATCATTCTTCTTCCTTCGCATTATTAGTCCCACTCAAGTGGCATCGCTAACATATTCATAATCATATATTGTTCAAATAATAATATCTAATTTTTATATAAAAAAAACTATATAATAGTGAAAGTTAATAATAATGATGATGAAATTAATAATAAATAATAATAATATAAGTTATAGTAATAATACAAATTCATACGTTTAAGAGACAGATGAGAGCCAGAGTGTCGCGTTGTACATACGTGGAACTGAGCGCTCACTTGTTAGGTAGTTATTCGTCGGCACGTCTCTCCGCAGCTTTCCGACGACGGACGAGGAGTGGGCCGTACTTCTGCAGCGCCAGCGCCACCTACACGAGCTCGAGATCCGGCGGTGGCGTGACGTCATCGATCTCACTGTCAAGATGGTCGATCAGGTAAGTGGCACTAGCGATGACTGCTGCCGCGGCACGATCTTCGTGCGTTTACTGCTGCACATGCGTTCTACTGTTTTACAACGAAGGACAGTATGTTTAATCGACCCGTCCGTGTGGAGCGATTGACGGGCAGCTCTAGCTAAGCACTAATGCAATAGTGGCATTCTAAAAACGCTACTTAGTGCCAAAGTATTGCAAAGTCGAGAATTTGCTGTGCACGCACGAAAAACACGTCTGACCTCATCTACCTTCACCAGCCTTCCTACGACGCTATTCATAGGTGTGTAATCTCGTTTTAAAAAACTGATGGGTTTAATTCATTCATTCTGCGGCGTTGGACCACTAGTTAAACTCTCTCGTTGCAATGTCTAATCGTTTATCGTTTTAATTTAATAATCGTTTTCCAGATGCAGATGTCGCTGCACGAGCTCAAGAAGAACTTTGAGACCGTCTCGGTCGCTCCACCATTCGACGACCGCACTCAGATGCCGTGATGATGTCATACCGAGCTCGTGGCGCCCGCTGGCGGCTGCCGTTCAAAGATGTCCGGCGCGATCGCTGCGATGACGTCGATCGGTCGCTGCGTGCGCGTCTGCATCGTCCGTGCCGTGACTCCACGCTGATGATGCCGGACTTCAGCAATCTGACGACGATGCCCGCTGCCGCGACGACGATGCCCGCCGCCGAGACGACGATGACCGCCGCCACGACGACGATGACCGCCGCCACG